AGATGCTATTAGAACATTCTTCTGGCAAACACTAAATTCCTGAACATGTGCAGTGCAGCTCTTCATATGCCAATTTTGGCATGTTCACAGTCCTTATCTTACATAGGATTAAAATTCACAAAGGATTTCTCTCCCTTTATCGTCCTTTCTAGAGCAAGACCTTTTGTGTTGGTTAAGGAATAGAGTAGGTTCTGTTTGTTTTGGTATAAAAATTTTATTCTTAAATATATATATATATATATATATATATATTATTTCTCGCCTTGTTTTGTCGTTCATGGGGCTTGATCTCAGGGCCTGGGTGTTGGTTTTGGGCTCTATTGCTCATGGCTAATGCTCTACCACTTTGAGTCACAGCTCCACTTATAGCTTTCTGCTGGTTAATTGGAGATAAGAGTCTCACAGTCTTTATTGTTCAGGCTGTCTTCAAACCAGGCTCCTCAAATCTCAGCCTCCTGAGCAACTAGGATTACAGGCATGAGCCACCAGTATGGGGCATAAAATTTACTCTTTTCCTAGGTATTTTTCAATTCAGTACATGAACAGTAGAGCAAAAATCTCAACCATAGCAAATTGTTTGTTAGTTTTAGCTTTTCTATTTTAGAATTTTTTAAAATAAGTTTTTTATTGTGAAAATACTGTACAGAAGGGTTACAGTTACATGAGCAAGGTAATGAGTACATTTCGTATCAACCATTGTTGCCTCCTCCTTTGTTTTTCCCCTACCATCCCTTCCCTCCTTGTAAAGATAGTTTTTCAACATAGTATCTTCTACATCTCATTGTTGCAATGGGTCAAACTATATCCCTATGTAAACATTTTGGTTTTTCCCTTCCTCTCCCCAAATTATTCCAACATCAAATACAGTGAAAACAGGGATTATACCATGGGGGAGGAACATAGAAAGCAACAAATAAATCACATGGTATCTTATAAATACATTAGAAACAATAGCAAGAAAGAAAAAACCACTTGTGTCCCTATCTTGAGGTTCATTTCACTTAACTCCATCTTATCTGGTCATATAATACACATATGTATATTGACCTTTTCTACTTGTCCCAGACATATACTAGTTATTGCAAATAAGGTAAACCATGGGCCCTATGTTTCTTTGGGCCTGGCTTACTTCACTTAATATAATTTTTTCGAAGACTTTACATATCCTAACAAATGGGGCGATGTCATTCTTTTTGATGGAGGTATAGAATTCATATATATTTATATATGTGTGTATATATATATATATATATATCACATTTTCTTGATCCATTCATCTACTGAGGGGCATCTGG